AGTCTATTGAGGCAATAAAGAGCCTGGTACTTTAGAAGTCATTGCTGATTAGACTTTTATCTGGAAGATGACTGGAGTATCCTGTAGAAGATGAGTTCAGGAGGTAGAACAACTCCTCTCAAGTCATTCCTGAATCACGAGGTTAGAATTAAATGGACTTACCCTCTTTCTCAAGCAAGGTATATGTATGAGAGTTCATGAATACATAGATCCAGCTATTTGTCCCCAGTTTCTTTTATCTGGAAGATGACTGGAGTATCCTGTAGAAGATGAGTTCAGGAGGTAGAACAACTCCTCTCAAGTCATTCCTGAATCACGAATTCCTGAATCCTGAATTTGGGGATCCTGAACAAGTGCATACAGCGAGCTTAACAGGTTTTATCACTCTACATTATTTCAATACTGGTAAAGTAATAGCTGTCCTGGTTTTTTTTTTTTCTTTGCTATCTTTACCATTTAATAGTAAATTACAGCTGTATACCTGTATCTTTAGATATAATAAATATCATGTATTTTCATAAAGTGGCCATAAAAAGGCCAGCTCCTCTGACTTTTGTTTAAAAGAATTCTTTTATATGCATATCTCTATCCAAATATACCTTTTCTTCTTTGACTGCCACCTAACTTTCTAGACATAAGTAGCATAATCATATATTAACAATTAGATAGCTCTTCCAGTCATTTTTTTTGAGTTAGTTTACTGATGTTATTCTTCATGTTGATCATAGTTTTCCACTGATTTATCTTATACTATATCCTTGTTAGCAGGGTTATGGGTTTTTTTTTCCTTCCTGTATTCTAAAGCCAATCATGGAAATAACAAGACCTTAAAATGAAAAGTAGGGGAGAAAGGTAGGAGAGATACCAGCTCTTTTCTGATTTCGTCCTGGAAATCCATTTTTATATGGCATTTGTTTTTTGTTTGGGGTTTTTTTGTTTGTTTTTTGTAACATTACCAGACACTGGCCTTGCTTTTAAAATATTGGTGTCATCTTCTTATTGCAGCAAGTTGCAAAGTAAGAAAAGTATCAGATGCTCAGTTGCTTAGTGTTGCTCTCAGAATATTTAAGTGGTTTTTCAGGGTGTTATTTTCATTCTAAACTCATGTTCAGGTGTTTTCTGATAGCAGGGAAGAGTTAGTTACCAATCTGGAGTTGTGCTCCAAAAAAAAATGCAAGGACAGACCATTTCTTGTGTACCTTAGAAAGCAGAAGTTCATACACGTAAAGTCTATGAAAAGTTTGTACAGTTATTTCAGAACTTTTTTCAATCTTTAATTTTAATGGTATTTACCACCTCTACTATTTTCTGGGTAGTATTACTCTGATAGTGGGTATTTTTCTTTTTAAAATTTTAGTCCTTTTTTCTGTGTGTGTGTGACAAGTGAAAATGGCTTGGAATTTTTCAGTGTTTAAAGAAGAAGTTTCAGTGGGAACTACCTGTTCCCATCTGATAATGCAGTTGGAAAAAACACTGACTGCATAAAAGCCATTGAAATGTTGGTAGGGCTTTCTGTGATCAGAAAATTTAAGATAGTCATCTTCATTTCAATTTTTTAGGCATATAGTCACTTTTTATGGGTGATTACAAATTGCAGTGGGAATTGCTGCTTATCATATTGTCAAATCTACTTCAAAAATTTAGAGGTCACAGTAGACTTAACACTTGGGCATGTCAGTAATCTACACTTTAGTCATTTTTTTTTCTTCCTTTTCATAATACGTTATCTTTCACACAGCAATTCAGGGAATGAGTTTTTATGGTGATATTAGAGAGACTTATCGTTGCAGCAGTGAAGTATTGATGAGAACAACAATATGATTTCTGGAAACTTAGAAAGAAAATAGTTTGGTTTTTTCTATTATTACTTTTACAGAGGAAAAATGGAAGGTGGAGTTTACAGGAGAAGGAAAACAGGAAATATTGGTATTTGGTCCAGGAAACATGTCCTAGTAATTTATTGTCTACATAAAGGGTAGAATGCCACTTAGTTCTGACAGCTGGAAATGACAGCCTGAGATCTGATTTTTGAGTTAGTAGATCTACTTTCATCTCTGACATTTGCAGATCTGAGAGCCTTATATCTAGCTATTGATTCTGGTAATTTTATTAAGAGCACAAATCTCTAATGATACCTGTTGGTTACGTCTGCTGGAAAAGAAATTGAAAATTGACTGTTTCCTGAGAAGCATTGCATACTTTCCTCTGCTGTGCTAAACGCATGTGAGAAAATGCTGAAGGAATAGGGTGGGAGAAAAACACCCTATGTTTGCATTAGGTCTTGGTGAGGTGTTAGTACATCCCATACAGTAGGTTCCCTTAAGTCATACAGAATTGAGTCTGGCTTTTAGGCAGAAGGTATGGTTGGGCATGAGGTGCATGAGCCTGCTCTAAACATGGCAATGGTTATAGCTGCATTTGGCAGCACTAAATCTCCTTCTGGAAAGTGAACCTCTTCACCAGAGTCTGAGTTACACTTGACTCTTGCTGAACTGCTGCTCCTAGGAGAGAAGGAGACCGTGTACATAACGTCTTTCCCAGTTGTTATGTGGAGAACCATATATCTCTCAAGTTAAATGAGAGACAGAGGGTTGCATTGCCTACTGCCTTGTAGCTGTGAACCCCAAATAAAGTTCCTGTTAAATTCTTAAATATTGAATGGCAGGTGATTTCAGGAAGCTTTTTCATTAGGGAAAATTCCTGCCATTTCAGTACTTTTGAAATGCTGCCCTCTTTAAGAAGAATGTGCGTTCATATAGGCTGCAAAGTAAGATGTGGCCTAAATGTATTTAATAACAATCTTAGAGCAACAGGGTTGCTTCCAGAGTTTGAAAATAAGTCTTGGCTGCATTCCAGATAGGAAAATCCTTAAAGATCTAAGAAAAGTTTTTGATTGGGTTTTTTTTGTTTGTTTGGTGTTTTTGTTTGGGGGGGAGGGTTGTTTTGTTTTTTTAAAGCTGACAGGAAGGTAAGATTTCAGTAAAGAGAAAATAGAACAAAAGCAGAGTTAGTTTGAAACAATCTTTTGCATACTTGACTAATAAAACTGAAAATTGAAATAAACAAATGGTGGGCTCTCATGTTTAATTAGGCTTGTTTTGTACCTTTTGTTTGGAAGTGTATAGGGTCAGAAGGCGAAAGTTATCTGTTTTCATTTTGACCTAAGTAGTGCAGTCTGATTTTCTTTGTGCAGAGGACTATTTGGTGCTGGGACTGTCAACACTCTTTATTCTGTCAAAGTCTTTGGAATGTTTAACATTCTTAGTAAGAGTTACACAGTTACTGAGAAAATTCTATGGCTTTTTTTGAGATCTTTCCCCCCCAAATACGTGTTAGCATGCTTATACAAACCTGAATGCCTTACTTCATGCATACCCACAGCCTCTATCAGTTATGTTCTGGAATCTTTTAAAAAGCTGACTGTTACCAGTTTCCTGAATGATTTGAAGGCAATATCAATATTTATCTGGAAAGATTTTTTTTGTGATTGTTGTTTTTTAATATACTTACTGGAAAGAGTTACTTTCTGATTTTTGGGTACAACTGGTAACACTCGCATGATATTTATACTTTCTTTTTTTAAGAGCAAGCGTGAAAATTGTTCATCTGTGTTTAGAGTGTTGTTTGAGGGGAGGTGGTGGGAAGGTAGTTCTTCCTGCTTTTATTTCATTGTAAGAAGTACTTTAAATACATGAAGGACTTCTGGTTGACTGCTGGAGGGAGGAAAGGAAAGATTTTACTATTGGAGGCTCAGAGAAAGAAACCTAACAGAGAAACTTTTTACTATGAAGACCTCCAAGTTTTAAAATATTTATTTTTTTTTTAGTGTTTAACTGCATGACTTCTAACATTATGTTCACATAAATTGGGGAAAAAAAAAAAAAAAAACAACAAAAAACCAAGAAGTTGCCTTCTGTTATAAAAGCTTTGGGATAGGAGAGTTATAATCTTAATCTCTTGTGAAATACGGTCTTTTGAAGAGCTTTTATTTGTGGCTAGCAATTTCAATTGCTACAATTTTTTGTAACATTAAATGCAAGCAACATAAATTGCATGAAAGGACTGCCAGGTAACCCTGTTTTTCATTTGACAGTACTTAACAACCGTCATTCCTTATGAGAAGAAAAATGGGCCCCCATCTGTTGAAGATCTTCAGACATTAACCAAAAGTGAGCATATGGAGTTCCTTTCTTCTTTGTGTTTCCAACTGCAGTTGCTCAAAATCAATGAATCGTATGGTTATCTCTTCCTCCTTACCCTATGGCATGGAGGTAAAGTTGCATGATGTTTAACCGTGCATTTTGGCCAATTTTTACTTGTTTTCTGAGCCTTGATGGTATGTTTCCTTTCTAGCTGTTCTCTGAAACCCTGAAGGCTAGAAACTTGCACATACCAAAGTAAATGTTCTCATGTTATTTCAACAGGTGGGCCTTACGTAAATACCGCATGTCATGGAAGTTGGCTGTACTGTCTGAAGTACCTGATATACCCCTGTTTGTTTAAACTTGCTGTTCTTTATTGAGGTTATTGTAACGACTCTAAAAAGTTGGAGTGGATGTTGGGACACTTACGAGTAGTCGTCTAATGGTTGTACTTGATTGCCTTTAAAATAGCCCTTCTCTCTGGGTTGTCTGGGGGTTGTTTGTTAATAAATTTTTAAAATTAGAGAGTATAAACCAAACGGTTTTGACAGTGCTTTGACTTCCACTTCCTTCACATCTTTTTAGGCTAGATCCTCAAAAATATTTCTAAGTCCTCTGTTTTTTAATTCTGATTTGCATGAAAAATAAGGTTGTATTTTTAAAAAAATATTATTAAGGTTGTTAAATACAGCAGAGCATCTCTGGGAGTCAGTGGCATCTCCTTCATTTGAGGTTTATAGGAACAGTTTAAAAATAGGTGGTAGACTGCGTCAATGTATTTGATCAGATCACAGTGCAGGGCTTTGGATCTAACTACGTCCTAAGGTACTTTCTAGCAACACAGGTCTGTGATTCCACAGGTGGCTGAGGAATGGTAGAAGGCTCATTGGTTGTTTCCTGGAGAGAGAAAAGTATTGTGCACGTTCTGGAGTAAATTAAATGTTTAAGCAAGAGTTTAATTCCTTTTATTTTTGTGCAGTAGACACCCTTAGCTGGCAATTCATACTCACTCTGTGACAAATACATTTTTTGTTTTACATTTACTCTTGCAGAGAACTTTTATCCTCTTGCCATATTTAAATTGCACTTGAAAATATTCTCAAAAATTCAGTGGTAAGCAGAGAGAGGTTAAAGCCTCCTGAAAACGTTTTGTGTTGTTTGACAGTTTATTATCAAAAAGTCTTGTACAAATGCACTGTAAAGAGTATTAACACTATTGTCTTCTGTGGGCTGACTGGAACTTGATCCTGTGACTCAGTTTCAGATTTCTGACTCACTCTCTGTGCTGTTGTTAAGGCAGGCAGTAAAGCAGCAGTTTGGGGTGGGTTGGTTGGGTTTTCTTTCAAAGCTGTGTGTTATTCCATAGTTATGAACACTGATATCTTACTTCAACATAAAAATTGAAATAACACACTTGTTATATTTCAAGTTCAGAGTCTCATATGAGGAATTTGGAGCTTATGAAATACTGCTGTTCAGTGTAATTCTGTACTCTTGATTCTTTCAGTGATGTCCAGAGCACTCCATAATGGATTGTCATTGGTGGTGTTTATGGAGTGACAGACAAGCTTATATTTGTCAAGTTGAGCTAGTAGAAATGTTTTCCCTTCTTCAGAAATATGCAAGGATAGACAATTTTGATTTGATAAAAGTCACAAAAAATGGCATTTTGGCATTATTCTAAGTTAATGCCAAGTTCAATCATATTTAAGATTTTTCTAAGTTGCTAACATTCACTATTTCAGGGCAAAAAAACCACTAACATTTTCATCAGATCATTCACAGCAGTGTTGCTCCAGAAAAGTGTCATTATTCCATGATTTGGGTTGAAGATCAAGGAAATAAATTAAGTAATGGAGCATACTTTTTTTACCTAAGATTTCCAACCCTCCAGCGTTGTTGGCATATTTTAGATTTGGATGTGGTGACTTTGTTTTGGAGAGCTTTTATTGTAGGGAAGAGGTGCTTTTTTTTTTTGTTATGACTGATGACATTTTACTGTAGCGATTAACCATGTAGAATGGGTATCTTGCATCCATCTACTGCAGAGTTCAGTGAGAATTACACAAGTGAAAGGTGGAGATGTGATCTGTCTCATCGTATCTTTTCATATTCCAGTTAAGAATTTTCTTGCTAATCTGGTAGTAATATTGCTATGAGTAGTTGAAACAGCTTTGTGGTATTTGTTTTGAGAGTGTTGTCTTTATGACTAAATATCTGATTTTTTTTTCATACTTCAGTCCTGCATGCCATGAAAGAGGATAGCGAGAAAGTGCCAAGCTTATTAACAGACTATATTTTAAAGGGTGAGTATGTTTCATAGCAGGAAACATTTTTTATTCTGAATTAACTGAATGTGCATACAAGGTGTGTTTGAAAAGAGTAGTCCTGCAGCGTTCATGAATTATGTTGCCCTTCTCTCAAACACAGCTCTCATTTATATTCTCTTCTATTTTGTCCAAGGTTTCTGAGCATATAGTTCATAAATAAAACGTTTGTTTTGTTTGTGATAGTATAATATAGCAAAGTATGTGGGTGTATACTCAAATAGCTGAAGGACATCAGCAGGAGCAGAGCAGTCTGGCTTACAAAGTTAAATGGGTGTAGTTAAAAACTTGTGTTGTACGGGTTTTTCAGAATCAGAATTCAAACTGCCTATTATAATCATGGACTTGCTAGATAAAGTACTTATAGCTTCATTTTCAGTGTTACCTTCTGACCAATACTTATTTTACATTTACTTGTTACATCTTCTTCACATTTTATTTAAAAGATTTGTATACTAATGATTTATTTTCCAGTCTTATACATTGACTATATTAATAGAACGTCAGACACTGAAAATCACCGCTTGCTTTAGCTTTATGGAGTTGTTCCAGGTAGATTCCAGGTTGTTAAATTACTTTTAAGTGTTTTTCTTCTGACTTCACTTTTGCTTAGATCTTATTAATGCTTATGTTCTTACTTAATTCTTGACGTATAAATGATACTGTGTTCTTTAGTGTTTAGCATATGCATCAAACTCCCAAGATCTGAACAAATGGATGTACAAAAGGATGATGGATGCCTTTTTATTTGCCACCCAAATGCGTATTACGTTCTGTTTCATGTTCATGGGCTGCAAAGATTTTCTCTTCTTTTGGTATCATGCTTTCCAGGTCTCACTGTTTTTTGAAATACAATCATTTGACGTAATTCCCTCCCTATGACTTTTACGGGTTTTTGTATTTCTTACACAGACTTCTAATCACTCTCATCTTGCAGAGATTTGAAAGTACTTTCAGGTTAAAGTTATGGATGAAAATTAGTGTGATGTTGCTTCAGAAAATCTGAAAGGAAAGCCGTGCAGTATTCTAGAAGCTCTGACAAGAGCCTCCTAGAAGAGGCTCATTTCTAGGTTTCATGTAGGGTTAAAGAACTACCACATACAATAAGAATGCAGAGATCCTTTCAGTTGATTCCTTTGATTGCTCCATTGTTTACTTACCCTTTCTGAAAATCCTTCTTAAATTAGGCAGATGTATTTACTTATGAGCTGAGAGACATTTAGGCTCAAGATCTTTTTTTTTTTTTTTTTTTTAATGGTGATGGCACTAAACTAGTTTTGTGAGTCTTTGTCCAAAAAGGATGAACTGCTGTCAATAATTAAAGCTGTTTGCTTTTCATCATAATACATCTGGTAGAAACTGGTTGGAATGAATTGTGCTCTTTACAGTCTCCGCTCTTATTTTTAGATGTAGCTATCCAGAAAAACTTTCAGATTACTAGGATACTGAGAAGAAACAGAGAAATTTTCTGCATAGAAGGCTTATAAGAGTAGATTAGCTGAACATATGACAGGATGATCTAGGAAGCTTGATAGTGAGGTTCCCTTCTACCTCTGCCTCTGCATGCTCATGACTTTAAAATCACCAGGGATGTTCTACTAGCTAGAAGCAACGATTACAAAAACATCATACTGACATTTAATGTGTTGGATCAAACAGGTCTTCATATACAAGCACTGTTGTCTCTAAATTGTAAAACACAAAAGACTGGAGTATGAAAAGTAATCACTCGTATCACTCATAGTAAAAGGAAAAGGTGATTTCCCTTCTGCTGTCATGATTTCATCACTGAACAGAACTAAGCCTTTCTCACTTTTTCTGTGGGTCCATTTGCACAACGGCAAGCAGTCGTACAAGCTAGTGAGCACAGAATTTTACTCTTCCTTTCAATGTAGCCTTAACTAAGCTTCATATTGCTATGTTTAGATTATGTTAAATATATATGGGCAACGTGGTCTAGTGGAGGGTGTCCCTGCCCGTAGCAGGGGGGTTGGAACTAGATGGTCTTTAAGGTCCCTTCCAACCCAAACTGTTTTACGATTCTATGATTTATAGCTCAGCTGACAGTGTTACATTGTAATGTAGATTTATCCTGTGGAACAGGCAAAGTCTGCCAATTGTTTCTGAAGTTACCTGTTTCTCTTTTTCTGCCACTAAAACTTCTGGCCTGAAGCCTCAGTGAGGCTTCATACATGGCACGACATACTCCCAGCCACCTGTCTACTGTCTGAAAATTATGTTTAAAGCTTGTTAAAGGGAGATCAGATGATTCTAAACAATCACTTGAAGCAACTTTCAGCTCAGCGTTTGTACCTGACATTCCAACCTACTCCCTGAATTTCAAAATAAAAGGAGTGACTACTTTTTAGGGAGTCTGCTGTCTTCACTGGAAAGATAAAAAATGTCTTGGCAAGGTGAAAATGATTATGAGGATTTAGGGGTTTGAATTTGTTTTCCAAAAGAAACAGGAGGATATTAAGTTCTGGACCCAGTAATAAGTATCCGTATGGTATAGTGATAATTATATTCATTTTACATTTTTTTATACTCCATGATCCAGCTGTTGTCCTAGACTGAATGGATTCCATTTCTTTTTATCAAGCGTTAATCAAGAAATGACACTTTAAAATGTGTGAATTATATCACCAAAGATACTTAGTTCTGTTAAAATCTATTAACTTCTTGTTCCTTTGAGTATTATTTTTTTCCAATCTTACAACAAAAAGCACCAGTAAATTATATGTGACAATAGGATATGTGTAGCTTTATGGGAAATCAGGTTAGTGTGGCATTTGTCAGCACAGGTAAAACCTTCTTTCTAGTTCTATATCCCACTTTACACAGCAAAGAAAAAAAATATCTTACAAGTCCTTAACAATTTTTTTAAACAGCACTGTCTTTTTATTCTATGGTATTTAAAAAATTAGAACATAGTAGCCTTATGTGGGTGTTATGGCTTTCCACAGAATTAGTAATAAACTTGCCCAGATACTGTTGGTTACTGTTGAAAAGTTACTTAAATTGTTTAGAATCGAGCTGAAGGAAAAAACAGGAAAAAAGTGATTCTAACAATTGCCATAGTATTGTTGCCATAATGTAATGAGACAAATAAAAGAATAATGCTGTGAACCTGGAAAGGTTAATAAAACCATAAGATTGAGCAGTAAGTGTTGATTTAACAAGAAATCTTGTGAAATTCACTGATGTTCTGATAAAACAAAAAGACAGTGAAATAAGCTTGTATTTTCTCTGAATTTCATGGTGTTTTGTAAAAGTGTCACCATCTTGAATATCATGAACTAAATGCCAGAATAATTCTGAAATTTGCAAAAGACTAAATTTGGATCATGTAGGAAGACACACACCGCCTCCCTCCGCGTGTGTTGTCTAATACTGCATAATACTAATACCTGCGTTTAATAATGATTGAGTAAATTTGTTTTGGCAAGGCAGTTTGGCCAAGAGCTGGAGCATTGGACTGGAACTTGAAGGAGAGTTCTGCAATCAGATCTGCTATTGACCTACTGTGTTACCATGGATCATTCTTGCACTTTTTTCCATAACCAGCTAATGCTTCTGAAACGCTGGGAGTAGAAATCCTCAGAACACAGGATGTGCAAATGTGATACTATAAAGAAGCGAAAAAGTCCAGTGCAACTCAGTGCATTTCATGTTAGGGGAAAAAAAGAAAGCTCCGTATGTGTTTATGAATAGGATTATTAGTTTTGAAATTATTTCTGGTGTTTGTTTCTTTAAAACATCCAATTTCTACTGCCCCCTTGCATCCCCCAAAATGTTAAAAATATCATCATTTTGTCCTCATGCTTAAGTCCCTCTTTCCAGTGATCAGTTAGCTCTCCCCGGATCTATTCCATAGGGAGTACCTCCGCAAAGGTAAGTGTCCCAGTGCCAGACTACATACATATTCCATGTAGATTCTTGTACAATGCAGTAGCTTCTCTTGTTCATGAGATACTCTTGATGCAACCTAAATTATTTTCAAGGGGGATTTTTTTTCTTTTTGTGGGGTTTTGTTTCTTCTTACTTTTCAGTGAACATTTCCATCCTGAAGTTAGTAATAATGAAAGAGACCTAGTGATTTGCTTTGCAAGTGTATTGTAGTTCTTCTCCCACCAACGTATGATTCGTATTCTGTTTTATAGATTTAGAATGAAAATAGATGGTAATGTGCAATTGATAAGCATTTGTAATTGTGCTTACATTTTTTCTGAATATATTTTTAATATATTAATATCATTACTATATTTTATCACTAGGGCTCATGGGTGTCAGACTCTTTTCCCACGTAACAAGCAATAGGATGAGAGGAAACTGCCTCAAGTTGTGGCAGGGAAGGTTTAGATTGGATAGTAGGAAAAATTGCTTCACCAAAAGGGTTATCAGTCATTGGAACAGGCTGCCCAGGAAAGTGGTTGAGTCACTGTCCCTGGAGGTATTTAAAAGATGTGTAGATGTCGTGCTTGGGGACGTGGTTTAGTGGCAGACTTGTCAGCATTAGGTTTACAGTTGGACTCTTAAGGGTCTTTTCCAAACTAAATGCTTCTCTGATTCTATAAAGTAGAAACTGAGATTTGGAGGAGGGTGGGGGAATGCATTTGCTGACAGGGGAAGAAATATCAAACCAACACTGAAATTCTTGATCTTAGAAAGCACGCTTTTGAACTGAAGCTGGCAGCTTAGTAAGCTCACTGTATTTAAATGCTGTTTCTGCTCATCTTTCTGCTGATCTTTTTTGATGGTTTAACAAATCTAATGTGCTTTGAAAACATTGTTTCTGTTGAAATACAAGCAAGTAAGCAACCAAGTTTCTTGTGCACAATTTAAGCTGTAAAGAAAGGAGCACAGATGGAGATGGTTTTGTCATATCTTGTGGTTGCTTTTTTTTTAGGTGTTGCAACAAGAATAGGTACCGTGTCCTTAGATGAAAACACATTTGGTTTGAGTATACCCATTGAATTTATTTTTTTTTACAGAAGCTTTCAGTCTTTCTTCTCACATGTGTAATGTAATGACTTTCTGCATTGTGATTTATTTGCCAAATACAATAATGCAATAAGTAGTATCATCTGTTATCCTTGAAGTACGCAAGTTTTAGGCTGTTTTCTGCAGAAAATGCCTCTGTGCAGTCATGGTGTCTGTCTCTTCAGCTTCACAAGTTATAATTGCCAATATCAACTCCACAAGACAGAAAGAAGGGTTACAGGAATAACTGCATTTCACGAATACCATAGGGAACTGCATCTAGGTAGGAGAAGGACCAAAACCACTGTTTCTATTGAGCTAAAGGCTATTGGCTTTTAAAAGCCAAGATCCAGTTGGCCAGATGGCTTCTATGTATTCACGTATGGGTGAATGCATTTACAGTAGCCACTGTCAGTTTGGGGGCATGAGGACAGAGGAACAGTATGGGGAGGACCTGCTGGATGGAGTTCATAGTGAATTTAAAGTAGAAGCTGAAGAAGGCATGGTAGGAAGGGGAGTTACCTAGTTTGATTGTTACGGGGGTAAGGACGAATATCTGAGGAAAATTGCTGGAAGCAAGGGTTCCTTGATTTACTGCTTACAGAACAAATCAATGAGATGTATGAAATGTTAGCCTGTAGATACACACAGAATCAAAAGATTAGGGATAAGTTGTCTGGTATCACATTGAGACACATTATTTCAACATTATTCGTTTTTACTTCCAGTTTTTACAAAATTGGAAGATATAAGTTAATGTACTGGGATAATTTTTTAATATAACTTACTACCAGTATGATACGCAAACTGAATACTGTACTCCTGTACTCCTGCAAAGTTAATTTTTTTCTTTAATTTGAGAACATGTGTAAGTAAATAATTGTCACATTCTTAAAACATAACTATTATATATAACAATATATAAGTATGTATGTATTTATAGCTGAAGTAAATGCATTTGAAATCAGATGTATCCTTACAGTAAACTGTTCTGAGATGCATTTATTGCTAAGCTTTGTGTTCTTTCCCAATTGTCCTTAAATAGTAATTGTGGCATAAAAATACAGTGCTAAAAATAATATGCTATACATTACTACTGAGTAAAATGCATGAAATATGTCTAGTATTATTTTCTTTCAGGCTTTTTTTCTGAATGTAGATGTCATGAACGCAGAATCATCTTTCAGCTTGCTTTGCTATTTCATATCTGATCTTCCAAGCTTCTAGTACAAGCTTAAAGAAACAATAATTTTTTTGTTTTAATAGAGCAAGAATTTACCCCTGGTTCTATTTTTAAATTATGCAAGTATTTCAGATAGCAAGAACATTTATTTTCATGCCTTTGAAGTTTTTGTTTAATTGTTGCACCTGACTTCTTTATTTGCTTTTGTGTTGTGCTAGCATTGGTTTGAAAGCTGGATTGCTCTGAGGTTTGTGTCTTACATGTGAAACAGGAATGAGAAACACGTGAAGGACATGTCTTATCTTCCCACTGAGTGATTCAAGTACACACACCAGAATTAGAAAGTAGAGTTAAAATCTCAAATAGTCAGTGCATATTTTTAAAATACAACTGCATGCGTCACCTTTTATTTAATGTTCTGTTTTCTAATAGAACACCTCAAAAAGCACTGTTTAAGACATGACCTTTAGTTAACTCATTTCTGCATAATACTAGTTAAAGATAGTGGGTTGTATCACTTAATTACCTTTTGAGAAGAGGATATTATCTTAATTGCCAGTTTCAATTTATTTTTAGATTTTACTGTGTTACTGATAGGGTAGAATTCAACATTTAAGTATTTTATTATACACAATACATTTTATACAGACTAACTTCATTGATGTTTATCAAGATGTATTTGCGGTTCTTTTGCAGTACTGTGTCCTACATGAAGAGGGCTGCCTTTCAGAATTAGCCACGCTCCTTACTGCGATGAGAAGCTTTCCATGGATATTACTCATAGTATTTTTTCATTTGGCACTATACCTAAACCAGTATGCATTTACCTCCTCTGTGTGTGTGTGTGGATTTTCTGATCCTACAGTAAGTCTTCTGGGCATGACAAGTCATCCATTTTAACTTAATAGTGCAATGAACTGGAGCAGGGAACAAACATTGTACAGTTTTACTCGCATTGTTCTGGCTTTTTAAAGTCTATTTTTACACTGTATAGCATGTAGTAAATCCTCCTGCACATTTTGTTGTTGGAAGGAAAAGTAAACTTTGAATAGTGTAAATAAAATAAGCCTAGTTTTAAGGAATCCATATTCAAAAGCATCCTTAGTTCCTATAGCAGAGATGCAAAAAGGATTATAGTTGGTTGTGGACTAAAAGATTCAAGTCAGTTCTCCAGGAAGCGCTCCAGAAGAGTGTTGGTGGAAGTCAGCATTCAAGACTTCTTTTAAAACAGTAACTTTGAATTATTCAACAGTATTGTTCATACCATGAACAAATCCACATTCTTTGATGGTTTCGTGTAAGTAATTGGTGTATTACCTATCCCTGTTATCTAACACAAACATCCAGGTAATTTAATATTTCATATTTGGTTTTAATTATTAATGTTCATGTAGCTTAGATATTCTCCCATAGTGCTATAATTTTACTGTTTTTAATAAGCGTTTGATCTTAATGAAAATGCTTCAATATATAAACATTTTAAAAGGCTTTTTAAAAATACATGTACAGTTTGAAAAACTTGCATCTGAGTTCCAAGTTGGTATTATATTGAGGCATTGGTTGTTGTGTATCTTTCAATTTTACTACAAATCTCTCGTGTAAATTGTATGCACTGTCTCCTCTGTGATGATGTATCTGCATTCAAACAGATGAGAATGTATTTTACAAATCCTGTAAAAGAAACTTACCCTATAATCTCAACATTAAATACTTGTCACAAATAATTTTTCCAGTTTTAAAGATTAGATTGAAATATAAGGAGTACTAATAAAAATAAAGGACCTGTTTTCTAGGTTGAATTCCTATTGATTCTATACCCAGATTTGTATACTGTGTCTATGAAGGCACTGGAAGATAAGGCTCAAAGAGATAAACATGTCTTTTCTTCAAACAGTTTTTTTTCCATTTAAAGTCTTCAGTCTTTTTGTTAGTTGAAGAGTTGAATTGGCTCCTGAATACCTTGTGTCACTTCTTTAATACTCAACTTTATCATCATTAACAAATACTCATTTTGATCAGTAAAACACATTCAGTTTGAAAATAGTTCTCATAATTCTTTCTCTTTTTTCCAAAGGCCTCAATGTTTTTGGGTTTTGTGTCTTTCTCAGTCAGTAAAGTTTTTAGCTTAAAATTCTTTCCTCCTCCCTCTCCCCCAACTTGACAACCAATGGATACTTGCCAGCCTGCTCAGGAATAAATAGATCCTCTGCATAAGTGTGTCATATGTGAGGAAGTTTTTTTGGTTGCTTTGTTTTGCTTCATTTTGTGGTTTCTCTTACAAGAAAGCTGCTGTTTATTTCGTTAACTGATGTGTTGAAAAAGCATGCCATAATGATTTCTTTATAGAAATGCTTGATGTTGACTGTTGGTGCCTGGAAATTGGCAAAGGGGGTGACTCTGTTTTGCTTCATGTTTTTTAAAAAAGATGCACATGTTGTGAAATACACCATGTCTCCAAATAATGTCTCTTCAGAGATGTCTCAATCTACTTTTGAGGCCTGAGGTGACAAGATGGAACAAAAAGAAGACAATTAAGGGAAGAAATTAAAAATAATAAAAAAAGAACTTTTTACAAAGTTTGCGGTGTTAGCTGTTGCAAATCTTGGATTACTTAAAGTCACAAAATACTAAAAGTACTAAAACTTGAGAGAAAACCCAACACTAAAGACACCAGGAACAGCTTTAGTGAGCTAAGCATCTGCTTGAGTGCATTATGCCCCTCATCGGACTAAACAAGATTTTGTTATAAGAAGTATCTGTTTTACCTTGTACATAGAATGCTAGCATTAAACAACAGCTGCTAAAGTTGGAAAGTATTATATATATACACCTATATATGTACATAAAAAAATAGATCTCAAAACACTTGAATAAAAAGAAGCATGCAGATCTGCTTTTCTGCTGAGTTCTGTGTGCTTCATATTCTCCATCCTTTTTCCAGATGCATTACTGAATCTTGCATTCTTTCAGGGACCTGGATTTCATTATTCTTTTTAGGTTTAGCCTGTGATAGCTGTAAATGGCCACCTGAGAACAGCTGCTGACAAATACCCTAGAAGAGATTTGGTAAAGATACGTTTTGACCCAAATCCGTTCCATTTTTAATATGAAGAGTGCTGGAAGCAAAATCTCCTTAAAATCATTGAATTTTAAGTTACTTAAAGTTAGGTTATTTGTATCACTTTAGTAGTCTTTGTTGGGGTTTTTTGGGGTGTTTTTTTTTTTTTTAAGTCCAACCCTTTTTCTAGGTTTCAGCTATTTTGTTTGATATAAGCTTATTCATGTGCTGGCTAGAGTCAAATTTTGAGTCAAGGTCTGTCTGGACAGTATATCAGAGATAGTCAAGAGGCCTAGAATTATGTTTTCTTGGTTAGGTAAAGAAACTTGAAAACAATGTCAGTTCCCTTGTGGTGAAGGATAATGATGTAGCTGGACTCTCAGTGGTGTAGGTAACTGGTGACACAGAACATCTGCTGTTACCTGCGCCAGGTAGTTGTAGCCTTTGACTTGGAGCGGTGGTTTTATCGCAGCCGTTCACATCGTTGTTGCTTCCAGACTGGATTACCTGAGTATTATTTCTGCATGCATGGCACTTGGAAACTGAAACGAAGCCCAGAAGTGGCACTCCCTGTGCTTGGAAATGGTGTCGATAATTAAGTGTGTATCTCTGCACAGCGTGGTTTACAGCAGCTGCCGCCTCCTTTCCAGCGGGACGATGTAAGAGAGAGGTTTAAACTCCTGAAGTTGTAGATGGTGCAGAGCCTGTGTAGCAGGAAGCCTGCTTCTCCAGCGGGGGCAGCAATGGGCAGCGGAGGGGAGCAGCTTGCTCCACTTAAAACAGCATCTACCCAATTCAGTCGGGAAGGGCCTGGAAGCAAAGCTTTGTGTTGCAGTGTTCTCGGCTCCGGTGCGCCCAGGCCTGAACTGGCTGACTTGTCTCATCGTTCTGCAAAACGTATCTTTCTTTTGGGCGATGGGGCTGTATTGTAACAGTAACAGAATCGGCGTGGGTTTGGAACGATTTTCAGATTCAGGTATCAATCCTAATTTTTAAAACTTCTCATGAACCTCCAAGTTATCCCTGGATAACCATAAAAACTCTGTCATGAGGTAAAACGAAATCTCAGGAGAAAATGGATCTTGAATCATGTCAGCTGAATTTAATGTTCTGCTTCTCTTCCGGACACAGTAGTGTTTCTTTTAAGCCTAAAAAGAAACTCAGGTTGTCATACCAGAAATCTACCTGTTCCAACACTATGATAGTACAATTTCTTTTCAAGATGTCTACAATTTTGCAGGTAGCAGTGGGTGGTAGGAGGGTTTTACAGGGCACAGCTAATGATGCAGAGAGTTTATCACTGAAGAAATTAGAAGGATTGCTTTCATTTTTTAAGTGCTTTGTCCTTGCTGGTGAAATGAAGTGTCTTGTTCCTTTGTTCACGTTCTTTTGATCAGGACCTAACTCGGGACTTACTGCCTTTTTATGTGTATATATTGATCAGTGATGGCTCTCTGGATTAGCTGATCCGTGTCCAGTCCTAACAATAATTGTTGAAGAAACTAAACTGGGAGAACAAGTTACTGAATTTTGTTGCTCTGTTTTGGTTTTCTCTCCTTTATAATCTGCAAAAGTTGGACAGAAGCCTCTCTTTGCACTGAAGGCTAATTTAAACAGAGCTTATGATTTTGTTGTTCATTTCCCAACCGGTCTTTGAGTTTATGTTAACATTATGTAATAAATATTAATTTTTATTTTCTGTAGCATTGCATGCAAATTGATGAATTCAAGTACATGTTTCTTGGAAACAACGTCTTAGGCTGAATATAATGGGATGAAAAACTCAGGAAAGAAGGTCAGGTGTTTGGATTTGCTTGATCAGGAAAATGGATAATGCCCAGTTTTTTTCAAAGCTATGGAAAGCAAATTCTGATCTTATATCTGCTTCTGTTGATATGCAGTCCTGCAAAGTTGTATGGCTTGATATTCAGGGACTGACCAATTCAAACTAAAAAAAGGCCAGATTTTCCCACTGACTGCATTTTGGCCTTCAGGAATATTCTGTTGCCCAGCTCAAGCAGGCTGGTGTACAGGAAGCCTTTCGAGTGGAATGGCAGTGCTGCTGTGAGAATGTCAGTTCGTTTTTATCTGTAGACAAATCATTGACTTCTCCCAGGAATGTTTCTTCTTCTGCTTACATTGCCTTCACAGGATAACTAATTGCGCAAAGTGAGGCCCATATAGATCAGGCTGCTTATCTGCATATTTTGGAATCTGGAGTTGGAAGATTCCTAAATTAGCATGGAAGTCCCTCAAAACACCTTACAGCTATTTCATCGTGAAAAAAAAACATCTCCACAGTATTACCTGCATTCATTTGAGGGATAGAAATTGGCCTTGAGATTAATTTGAAAAAGACAAATTCAGAACCTTTGTCACTTTCTGTTCCAGAAGAAGTTGATACTGTCTGCTAGCGATAGCATGAGAATAGTTGAGTAGAGAGCTGCTTCCTTCCACCTGCATCTGTCATTGATGCATGGAGGGAGCAATCATAGCAGCCTGATCTAAACATTGTCACCAGAACCACTGAGCTTTTGCCTAAAATTGATTACTTCCTCTAAATGCACATCTGAGACTGTAAAAGATCAAGCCCTAGAAGGCTTCACTTTGCATTTGTTGCAGTGGGTGATTCCCCTGTGAACAATTCTGGACACACATCAAAGCACAACGTGGCACTGCAGTTGCCTGTCACTCCACACAGCACGAGAGCGAGCTGTGCTGCATGAGCACTTGCTACTGCAGTAGGGTCTTGTAGAACACTGCATTTACAGTGGTGACAGCTTCAGTGGGACAGGGCCCTTGACATCCTTAAGATTTCTAGAGGGCATTTCAGCTGAGAAGGATGGACGGGGAGGTCCCATTTCTGTAGACATTGCTTTTCCAGTGCCTCATAAATTTTTGTACTGCTCTGAACTGACTTACAAAGTTGAGGTGTGACTTTGCTGGCTTAAAACAGTAAGTGTTGACATTTGGGGTAAAAGTCAAGTCAAATCTTACAGTCTGTAGGGTAATTTTAAGAGCCTCATA